CCAGGGAAAGAGAGAAGGGAACTTTTGTGTACTGTGCGAAAAGCGAGACCCTTACCGCCATCTAGGGGCCTGGCGAAGAACTTCAAGGTGTTCACTTCAATACAAGCGATGAGGGAGCATTTGTTGAGTAATAAGAGAATAAATTCGAAAAGCTCACGGTGTGTTCACTTCTTACTCCCCAAACGCTTGGAATTTTCTAAGAGTGTACAATCCTAAAAAATGCTCATTTTCCTTCATGATAGCTAATCCGACTGCTACAGCTCCCTCTTTCGAAAAATGTACTCCTTCCCTAGCCATCGGACTTCTACAGCGACTCAAAGCCTCCTTAGTGTCCAGAAACACTGCCCCCTCCGCGACACATACCTCCTTCAACCTGTCGTTAACCCCTTCCGACCTAGACCTTGTGATTCCTCCCTTGTCTAGCCGGCTCGGGATCGCGCATACCGTCACCCGCACTCCTAACCTTGCCTCCTGACACGCCCTAATAGCCTGCCTCAGCTTGCCCATGATGATTTCAGAGCCAGAATTGGGAGTATCGTTGGTCCCTACGTGAAGGACCACCGACACTTCCTCGGCCGACTCGGAGCATCGCATACCGTCACCCGCACTCCCAACCTTGCCTCCCAACACGCCCTAATAGCCTGCCTCAGCTTGCCCATGATTAGTTCAGAGCCAGACTTGGGAGTATCGTTGGTCCCTACTTGAAGGACCACCGACACTTTCTCGGCCGACTCGGAGCACACCACCGATCCGATCTTATCCCTAATGTCTTCGATCGTGGTTGTGGATGTGTTACCTTCTAGAACTATGTTAAATCAATATGGAATGGCAAGAACTTATTCAAAATATTGCAATTATATTTTGAGAGGACTCACATTCAGGGCTGTTATTGTTCATATTCTCGAGTTTCCTCTTCTCTGTCAACTGAAATATTGCTTTTCATTTTTTAAATATCAGTTTTGAATAGAAGTCATTTGAATGGATCACTTAAGTGAAGAGTGAAGAGGGTGATCTGGTATATTCATTCATATGAGGTCGGTTCAAGTCAAATTGCTCTTAGCAACAAGAAACGAAAAACGAAGTCAGGTTTTTGCTTTCCAAGATGAAGTGAACACCTGAGCTCACATTTCACAAATGTTTCTCTGCCCTCCTCCTTTGGAGTTGAATTTAGCAGAATACATGTGCCTCAGATGAGAACACTTTAACCCAGGAGTCACCAGTGATTGTCCTTCCAGTTTGTTGGTTGGAGGAATAGCTTCAAAAATAAAATAATTCAATCGTATGAATTCCAGATTGCATATATTGTCATGATCATATTTTATTATTTTGCCGATGAGTGCAATGTGCTGCCTGCAATACATTTAGCTTGGAATATTTCATGATTTAGTCATGAATGACAGCATAATTCTAGAAAGTGGAAAGAAAGTGAATGGAATTCTAAGTCTTCATTTTCTTTTTCTTTCATTTCTTAACCTCCATTAACAATCAAGAAACAAGAGAATGTTGTCTTAATGATTTATCTAAACACTTTTCTTTCTACTTTTTTTTACCTTTTCCCCCCGAGGATTTAAGTAAATAATGACAAATCCAAATCCTATCATTTTCATTTCCAGTTCACCCAATCATTTTCACATCACTTCATGATACACTCTGATATAATATATCGCCGCATGGTGTACTCGGGAACTGTATATCCGGGAATATACCGGTCTATATATCTCTCATATTTGAGATGAGGATCAGAAGGACTCATCTGGGTATATCCCAAAAAAAGTTCATTAATGGCAGCAAAATCTGCTTTTGTTGGTGAAAAAACAACAATAAAATATTTGATATGTTCTCTGTCAGCGTCTTTCCAAAAGTCTATAGTCCAGTTTGCATCTAAGTCAGCATCCAGGAATTTTGCATGACTGATTTTCTCAACAATTCTCCTCTCCATCCTCTCCACTTCCCCCTTCTTCACACTTGTGCGTGAATAGAAGTGGATAACAATCAGCTTCTTCTTGTTCGTGTGCAGGTAGATGAGCAGAGAATATTGTGAGTCAACCTTAGTCTGGTAAGAGAAAGAATCCAATCAACAAAACTTTCAACATCGAAAAAAAATACATCCCCCCACCATTTCATCTGGTCACGTTGAGCTGGGTCCACTCAGAGAAGCGTCGCTTCATTGGGAAGGGAGACACCTTCACCCATGGCCCCAAGTGGACCCCCCTACCTACCAACCTACCTACCTACCTATTTCCTCCTTTAGAGCCGAGCATGGGAGGTTTCTATCGATTTCACTTTTTTCACGCCTTTTTGAGCCAAATACGTGATATGTAAGTGCCAAAAATAATATGTGGGGGAATATCGGCTGCATGGAGATCCAGCTTATTCCAGTGACAGGAGAAATGAGAATTGAGGAACAGAAAGTTGTATTCGTTTAAATAGATGAATAAAGAAATGAAACAGGGTTATAGGGTTCTTGCTGCAAAGGTTCCAAAAAATATAGGAATAATAATTTCTTTGCAATAAAAATCGGATATTTGATAGTGATAATGATGTAACGTCCCAGATAAATTACCAGTCCAGCCAGCATGACAGGCAGTGAGTGGTCTGGCTGGAGGGCTGCCATGTATATAAGGGAATAGCTCTCTGCAAGCCGCCCTAGGGAGATCACAGTATGTGCATGACCCCATAGGCCTGACCTCTGACCCTCGACCACAGCCAAGGTCCTTATTAAGCCCCTAGATGTCTTGTTCTTAACCACCTCTTTTTCCATGTCCATTGTAACACCCTAAGACTAGCAAAAGTCATGCTTTCATGCTTTACATGCACCTTGTGAAACTTGAAAAGCCTACAAGCATGTGCTTCTATAGAAGGTGTGGGGATTATGGGATTAATAGTTACTATATGCCATTCAGTCCTGATACAGTGATTGCAGGATTGCACATGGGATAGGTTTAGGTTTTCTAGGTACTGTTGGGCTAAAGTCACATTCTCTTCATTCCTGTTCCATGCATTCCTAGACATCAGCATGCATAGCCAGAGCTTCAAGGGGGTCATCATCACTGCTGCATCAACAGCAAAGATTGGCTAGTGATGCTCTCTTATTGACCCAGCTATGAGCTTTACAGCATGTTCAGTTCAACTTCCCACCCGCTTTTTTCGTTCTATATATTATACAGCATGCTGGATAATTTTCTGCTCTCCAAAAATGAGACTTAGTATACCCCAAATCATATGTTAGGATTTGCTCAATAAGTCCTCCATTTTTGTGCAGATAAAACTTCGCATGAAGGGCCTCCTTGACATACACTGGCCTCCAAAAATGAGTCAATGTTCCATAAACTTTTATTCAAATTCGAATATCTCTGGCAATGTTCACTCGAATCTCACAAAAGTTTGATATGTTATTATGCAACTTCTTTTACATAAAATTCCAAAAACTCACCATGATCGATCAGTTCGCGGCCAATATGCATGTCTTCATAGTCGCCGGGGGGTGAGTCAATATTTTGGCGATTATTGGTGTTTGTGAAAAAATCATATAAAAGCAGCAATCTCGGCCCAGTCCTACCCCATCTCATTTCTCCTTTCATCATTTTTCTCTCTCTACCTGCATTACAATGGTCAAAGCCATGTCCAAGCGTATTCAAGAACGCAACAAGGAGCTTGCGTCTCAGCACAAATCAAACCGACAAATTGGCGAAATTCTTTCGATTTCTTAGTCAACTGCAGCTCGGTACATAAAGAAATATCGTACCAATGCACCCTTTGCTTTAAGAGGCCGTCCTCGTGTCCTGGACAAGCAGGACGAAAAGTACATCTGCAGACTGGCCACTACAGGAAAGTGTTCCACCGCCACCACCATCCAACGCGAGCTCAAGATCTATGCAGG